AACAACAACAACACATATGTTAAAATATTCAAAACTTTCCTGTTAAACTGCTTTTGGATGTATGCAGTGATGTGGTTTGAAACTTAGTAGAAATTATATAGCTGATGGTTCTCTGTTTGCTCTCTAACTGACCTTCACAGGTAGTCAGTTTTTATCAAGACAGATGCTATTTATTCCTGTTTTGTGGGTCTTTTCTTTGTCTTGAAAAAACAGCTATTCTTCCTTCCCCTCAGATTCTCACTATGCAAAACCTCATTTTTACTCTCTGTATTGAACATTTCTAGATTTACCTTTCATTCTCTTGGGTGATGCATTGACTAAGCTCTTTCTATTATTTTTTTAAAGTAATTATTGTTGTTAAATGTCATTGAGTTGAGTACAATTTATAGTGACCCTATGAACAACAGATCTGAACCCCATCCTATCCTGTGCCAGCCTCACCATCTTTTTGACCTACTTGAGTCCATTGCTTCAGTCACTCTTAAAAAAGTCACTTTAAGTAGCTGACTACTTGGAAACCCTAGTGTACTTAGTGTTTTTTGTCAGAGACCTCATTATTTCTGTTTTTATGGTGAATTGTATTCAATAATTGGAAGGAGGAGTGACATCCACTTCCATAATTTGCCTCCGGAAACCCTATGAACCTGGAGAGAGGATGAAAGGCACCCAAGCATCGAGGACTCTCCTTCACAGGGTCGCTATGAGTCAGTCGCCTGTGACTCGACGGCATTTAACAACAACTACAACATATTCAATAAAGAGTTTATATTCAATAAACAGTTGCTTTGTTCTTTTTTACATATGTAGTTCATTGTCAGTTTTCTTTCTTTCCATTGTGTCACCATTTCTCATTGCCTTTGTCACATACACATACTCTACACTTTAACTTACTGTGATAATTTTATTTCCATAAAGGTAACATTCAGTGGGGCACATTACTCAAGGCAAAAATTATATATTGAGCTGCATTGTTCTTTAGGTTAGATATGACTTCTTAGGATAGATTTGGCCAAGTTTCTAAAGTTCCTAGGCAGTAGATTTGGAGTTTCCTCCAGTCTCAGTGATCCCAGTAAATTTGATTTCCAATAACGGTTTGAAGTTCAATCTCACAATTTTTATTCCTTTTGATCATCTGTTGAGCCTCTGATCAAAATGTTCAGTAATTTAAAAAAATTTTTCAGTAATGGTTATTGTTGTTGTGTGCCATTGAGTCAGCTGCAACTCAAAGCAACACTATGAACAATAGCTTTCAACCCAGCCCTACCAATAATGTAGCCAAGTACTATCTGGGTTTTTGTTGGTGTTGTTTTTTTTTTTTAATTTTTTTTTCCTTTCTTTGTTTTTTGTAGCCTTACAGTAAAGGAGTTTATAGTTAATGGAGACAGTTAGACCTGCAAACCATTTCCTTCTCTAATTCCTAGATCTCCTTCCTCTGTTGCTCCAGATGAATAGAACCCAGTATACCTTGCATGGTGGTTGGCAAGCTTTTAAGATCCCCAACATTCCTTACTCAGGAGCCCTGGTGGCCTACTAGTAAGGAGCTGCACTACCCACTAAAAGGCACACAGTTTGAATCCACCAGCTCTCTGGAGGAGAAAGTTGGACAATCTCCGCCCATTGATTTTCTGCCTCTGAAAACCTGCTGAGTGTCAGCTATGAGTCAGGCTCTGACTCCATGGCACATAAAAACACCCACCCCACCCCCACACACACATACACTTAAATAGGAGAAAGAACAAGACTCTTAAAATAATATTGCTCAAACTCATTGAAATCAAGCCAGAACCAACTCATAGCTCACCCTCCACTGGTTTTTATAGGTTATAAATTGCATGGGAGGAGATTGTCAATCAGAGCCACTGGTGGATTTGTAGAGAGACAAGTTTTGAGTTAGCAGTGCAACTCCCCATGTATTAGGCCACAAGAGCTCAAAATAATACTGAAGGGACCTCTGGTGGCCTGAGACATCATTATTTTTCAAATCATAATCTTTGTACTGTTGCCTTTTCCATAACCATATCATGTCTAATAAGCCCTGAAGGCATAGTACATATGATATGTTCTGGCTGCTAACTGAATGAACAGTAGTTTGACTCTCCCAGCTGTAGGAGGATATTCAGTACTCTTCCAGCATCACAGCTCAAAGACATCAGTTATTCTTCTGTCATCTTTATTCACTGTCCAGCTTTCAGATGCATAGCAAGTGACTGAAAAATGATGCATAGTTGAATCAGGGACACCTTAGACCTCAAACTGACATAATTGCCTGCAGTAATTTGAAGAGGTGCTAACTGCTTGTACCATGTGTTAATTGTGGATCCAATAAGATGAGGACATTGACAGTTCCAATCTTTTCTCCATCTATCATATATGTTGCCTATGAGTCCAGTTGTAAGAATTTTTCTTTTCTTGATGTTGAAATGTAATTCATATTGAAGCCTATAGTCTTTAATCTTCTAGAGCAAACAGTTCAAGACATCCTTACTTTTAGCGAGCAAGGCTGTGTCATCTGGATAAAGCAGGTTATTAATGCATCTCCCTTCAATACTGATGCTACACCCCTGTTCATAGAGTTCAGCTTCTCAAGCGATTTGCTCACTGTGGAGAGAGGATACAGCCTCGATGCACACCTTTATTGATGAACTATGTATAGGTTTTACATGAGCACGGCTGAGGAGGACCTAAGACATTTGCTGCAGAAGGTCAAGGACTGCTGCCTTTAATATGGATTGAAGCTCAACATCAAGAAAACAAAGATTCTCACCACTGGGCCGATTGGCAGCTTCATGATAGACTATGAAGAGATTGAGATTGTTAATAGCTTCAGTTTGCTTGGCTCCACAGTCAACATTCTTGGTACGAGCAGTCAGGAAATCAGAAGACAAATTGCATTGGGAAAGTGCTGTTAGGGACCTCTCCAGAGTACTGAAGAGCAATGATGTCAGTCTGAAGACTAAGGTGTGCATGATCCAGGCCATGGTCTTCACAGTTACTTTCTATGCATCAGAAAGCTGGGCAGTGACTAGGGATAATAGAAGGAGAATTGATGCCTTTGAGCTTTGGTGTTTGATAAGGGTATTCAGTATACCATAGACTGCTAGAACAGGATGCTCCTTGTAGACAAGGATTCTGAAGTTCTGTCTGACATACTTTGGACATGCTGCAAGGAGGGAGCAGTACTTGGAGCGGGACATCATGCTTGGAAGGGTGGAGGGTCTGCACAAGAGAGGAAGAACCTAGATGAGATAGATTGACTTAATAACTGGGGTAATGGAGTAGAAGTGTCAGAGACAATAAGATTGGCTCAGGACAGAGCTGGGTTCAGAGCTGTTGTACATAGGGTCTGTGAGACACAGGCAACTCAATTGCACATAACAACAACAATACCTAGTTTTCTTACTGTACTTTGTACATTCCATGTTCCAATTATTCAAGGATGTTTGCAGTTGTTTCTCCTCATTTTGAATGACTTCCATTCTGGTCTCCATCTCAAAGACCATAGCTACCCATGTTCATCTGTTGTTCATAGGATTTTCAGAAACCTCCCAAGTGACTGGCCAATCCTGCTTCTTAGTCTGTCTTCATCTACAAACTCTGCTGAAACTATCTACTGTGGGTGACCCTCCTGGCATTTGAGACACCCACCATTAATGATGTCTTAAATTAGGCACACCTTGGTTTTTAAACTAACATCACTTTTGAACTGTGTAGAAGTTCAGATTTACTGTTTATAATTCTTCCTTTTTAGGTATTTCAGCCTTCTCCTGAAGATCATGAAAAATATGGTGGAGATCCACAAAACCCTCATAAACTGCATATTGTTACCAGAATAAAAAGTGCAAGAAGGCGTCCATATTGGGAAAAAAATATAATAAAGATGCTTGGATTAGAAAAAGTATGTAACTCTTTTAGTTACCTTTAGTATTGTTTAAAGTTTCTCTGAATTTTACTCTTTTAACTTTAATATGTTATTGCCCATTGTCATTAAATCAAACTGACTTAAAGGTTTTCAAAGGCAGTGTATGGCATATGAAAAAATCTTTTTTTAAAAAAAAATATTTTTAATTTTTTATACTTTAATGAAAGATTACAGAAAACTTGGATTTCCATTCATTTATGATTGCAAGCGAGAGATCTTTATCTCATGGAGCAGCTGGTGAATTCAAACCACCTGCCTTTGGCAGCACAACTCCTTACCCATCAGGCTATCAGAGGCCCCTAAATTACACATACATATAGATATCATTTCTTTTATTCAGATGTTTTGTATATAGTATGATTTATTAGTAAATTTGATTTAGACAGAATGAATTTTCAACTTAACATTTTACTGAGGCATGACACCATCTGGCTCTTACACTGATCCTTAATATTATTTCTTCATAGGCACATACTCCTCAAGTTCACAAGAATATCCCTTCAGTGAATGCAAAGCTGAAAGTGGTTAAACATTTGATAAGGTTTGTTGTTTGTTATATTTGGCTACTTTAAAAAATATGTTACCCACAATAATTCTAATGCAATTTCTTATGTTTAGGATCCAGCCACTGAAGTTGCCACAAGGACTTCCCACGGAAGAGAACATGGCTAATACCTGCCTCAAGAGCAATGGAGAATTAATAGTACACTGGAATCTAAAACCTTTGGAGAAGGAAGGAATTACATCCTAATGCAAGTGCAGTCTCAAATTTGAAAAATTATAAATAACCTTTATTTAAAGATGATGACAAGATATTATCATTAAAATATACTTTAAATCCATTTTTATGGACTCAATATGATGTCATTCTTCATTACAGACTTAAAGCTATTATTTGTTTTCATTCTTTCTTATGTTCTTAATAGTTTCAATCCAAAGTGGGTAAGAATGGCAGTTATTAGACCATCTAGGATGGTCTAGGATAAATACACTATCATCTTAAACAGTTGTCATTCTTATTGCCATTGAGAAAGCATTGGGACCTTATGTATAACAGCATGAAATGCTGTCCAGTCTCCTATCAGCCTAACTATTGTTGGTGTGTTTGAGTCTATTGTTGTGTCAGTCCATCTCATTTAGATTTTCTCTCATTTTTCCTTACTGTTTCACTGATAGTATTACCTTTTGGAGAAAAAAATATTTTGTCTTCATTTAATTGAATCTGACAGGTTCTGAGTGCTCTTTGAGCACAAATGGATGAAAGAAGACATCTCAAGAGAAATGAGAAAAAAAAATAAAAAAATTAAAAAAAAGAGAAATGAGAAATATTTTGAACTACCTTAAAAATATACTTGTCAAAATTTATGGGTGGAATAAAAGTTGTGTTTATAGGGCAAACGTAAAGTATTAACTATATATATTAAAAAAGAAGAAAAGTCTAAAACAATTAAAGTTTTTTCCTTTGGAAACTAGAAAAAGAGCAAATTAAATCCAAAATAAATTAAAGAAAAGAGAAAATAAAATTGAGAGCAGAAATCAATGAAATTGGAAATGTAAGTATAGTGTTAAGGGTTTATTATTCAAAATGACTTTTCTAGCCCTTGAGTTTAACTTTGCCAGGTGAATGGGCAGGACTATGTGAATAGGGTGTGCTAGCCTGTCCATGAAGGGATTGGCTAGTCTCACCAATAAATTGAGCATATTCAGGAGCAGACTTGAAGAAACTCACCACTAGCAAAAAAGAAGCAAGAGAATGCAGTGCATCATTCAGGGCCAGAGATTCTTGAGCCAGCCGTACCAGTCATTGCTTATGAGCAGCAGCTATAGCAGTCACAGCAGAGAACCAGAGACCCGAACATGACAGAGCAGACATTGGGACTGTTACTCCATGGGGAACCAGGGCTAAGAGCCTTTGCAGAAGTTTTTTGGATGATTGGCGGAAGGGGGAGAGAGCCGTAATTGACATGACTGGCCTAACATGGCAAGATTCAAGGCTGAAGTGCTTGCAACCTCATTTTAGAAGTTGTCCTGACTGTATTGTATTTTGTCCTGGCTGATTGTATTTTGCTACTAACCCTAACTATAGCCTTTTGGCTTTGGTTTTTGGGCCCAGTAAAGCAGAAAGATTGGTGTCTGGATGAGTAGGAAAAGTAGAATGAGGAACATGTCTGACCTCATGAGAATGGGGTTTGTGTTGTTGACAGGTACATTGCCTTTGTGGAGTTGATGGAGGTACATATGACTGTCTTCTTGCAGCCCCTGGTCTTTTTACAATTAAGTCAAGAGAAATCAACAAAATTAAAAGATGAATCTTTGAAAATATCAATACAAGTGATCTAACCAGGCTAATAGAAGACACAAATTGCAAATACTATACATGAAAGAGGTATCATCACTGTTGATCTCATGGGCATCAAAAGGATAATAAATGAATACTGTGAACTATATGCCCATCAATTTGATTAATATGTACCAAGTTCATTGGAAGAAACAACATACCACTACTCCCACAAGGAGAAGTACATAATCTCTATAGACCATTGTTATGTGCCATTGTGTTGCCTGTGACCCTATGTACAGCAGCTCTGAACCCTGCCTTGTCCTGAGCCAGCCTCACTAATTCTGACACACCAACCCCCATCCCCCCAGGTACTGTATCAATCCATCTCATCTGGGGTTTTCTTCTCCTGTGCTATTCCTCCACCATTCCAAGCATGATGTCTTTGTCTAAGACCAGTCTCTCCTGGCCAGATGCCCAAAGTATGTGAGACAGAGCTTGAGAATCCTAGCCTCCAAGGAGAAAATAGGTTTCACCTTCTCTAAGATAGATCTACTTGTCTTCTTGGTGGTTCAAGAGTCTTCTCCAGCACCAAAACTTGAAAGGATTGATTCTTCTGTCATCCATAGTCATTGTCCCACTTACATTTATGCTTAAAAGTTTCTAGTGTGTCAAGGCTGTGTCCTTTTTTCCATATATATTCAATATGCATGTTACATTTATGCTTAAAAGTTTCTAGTGTGTCAAGGCTGTGTCCTTTTTTCCATATATATTCAATATGCATGCTGAACAAATCACTTGAGAAGCTGCACTTTATTAAAAAGAATGTAGCATCTGGGTTAGAGGAAGACTCTTCAATAACCTGTGCTATGTAGATGATACAACCTTACTTGCTGAAGGTGAAGAGGACTCATAGCATCTGATGCAGAAGATAAAAAAAAATAGCCATCAGTATGAATTCCATCTCAACATCAAGGAAAAAAAGTTCTCACCATTGATCCAATTAGCAAGATTGTGATAGATGGTTGTTGTTATGTGCCGTCAAGTGATAGATGGAGAGATTCAAATTGTCAACAATTTCATTTTACTTGGATCCACTGTCAACACCCTTGGTACTTGTTGTTGTTGTTGTTATATGCCATCGAGTCGCTTGTGATTCATAGCGACCCTATGTACAACAGCCCTAAACTCTGTCCTGTGCCAGTCGCACTGTCTCTGACACTCCCATCCC